TTTTCACAGCAAAAGGGACTACTGAAAGGGATGTCCCTTTTACTCTACACATTTGTAGTGTCTGTACCTTAGACAACAAGAGCATATTCATGTTTTATTTAGGCAATATAACAATTAACAAAATAGGGGCACCTGCGTGGCTCAGGCAGTTGAGCGTCTGCCTTAGGCTCAGGTCATGATTCCAGGACCCTGGGATGGAGCCTTGCGTTGGGCTCCCAGCTGAGCAGGGAGCCTGCTTCTCCCTCTCCCCCACTCGTGATCTTTATAGTGCACATGCTCTCTCTTTCTCTCAAATAAATAAAATCTTTTTTAAAAGTTAACAAAATGAAGCTCTTCAATCCACTTCCTCAGAGAAAACCACTTATTAACAATTTGTTATGTATTACAGATATTCTTCTTGAGTCATCAAGCAGATACATAATTTTTTTAAAAAGTAAGTTAAATGACAGGAATTGTTTCCAGAAAGATGGAACAGACATACTTTTCCCTATTCCTGCCCCTAAATATAACTAAAAATCCTGGATGTAACATATATAATAAGCAAAAGAAGATCCTGAAAGGTGGAGAAAAGCAGACTGGCTAGGGACCTCAGAACACACAGGACCATGTGCTTGTGGGCTCCCTGGTTTTCCTTTTATCTTATATAAGCCAAACTTAGAGCTGAAACAGTGTGTAACCCAGAAACACAAATGGGTGCAAACAAATAAACGCCCCAAAAGAAGCATGCTCTTTCTAGCCAAATGAACAAGAAAGAAACTCCCTAGCAACACAGAAAACTTTTAGATAGTTGCTCTACTCCAGCCAAATACCACAGAAAACACTGTGGCCCCACCCACACCAGCAAAGACCTCCACCTACACCAGGTTGTAACAAGGCACCTCAATTGCCATAATCCCTCCAATGGATAAGCATCAGAGAAGTAGGTAGAGGTAGAGAGTCAGGACTTTTATCCCAGCCATGCAGGAATAGACTACCTCCACCAACCCAACCCTTCCCTAAGGTATCAGTGGAGACCAAGTGGGGAGCCATAACATGGCATTCTTAGTCCCTCCCTCAACCCCTCCAGCCAGGGACACATCCATGGAGGTCTAGTGAGGAGCCAGAACTCTCCCCCCTCCTCAGGAATTTTGAGAAGCACCCTCTCAGGTGTCAGTCTACCCTCAGACTGTATTAAGAAGTTGGCACACATTCCCTTTCAGAAGCCAGGAGCCAAAATGCAAAGTTTAAAATGATCCATAGTCTCGTAATACTCAAAATGTTGAGGTTTCAATCAAAAATCACTCATACCAAGAACCAGAAAGACCAAAGCTGAATAAAAAAGACAAGTGGATGCCAACACCAAGAAGAAAGAGATACAATAATTCGGACAGATTTTAAAGCAGTCATTATAAAAATGCTTTAAATAAGCAACATGAGCGCACTTGAATGAAAAAGCAAAATCTCTCAGCAAACAGAAGATATAAGTAAGAACCAAAAGGAAATTTTAGAACTGAAAAACAGAATAACCTAAAGAAATAACTTAATGAGATCATACTACACATTTTTGCTTTTTTCACTTAATATCTAATGAAAATCTAAGTCTCTCTGTATACATACATACAGTATTTTTTGTTAGCTGTAGTATTCCTCTGTATGAATTAACTATAAGTTAATCTTTGATTAATGGGCACTTATTTATACTGTTTATAATTCTTCATCATTATTAAGTCATGCATATTTGCATAATTATGTCATTTTTACATGATTATCTGTCATAATTATCTATCATTTTTAGTAAATGACATCACTAAAAATAACAGTGATAAGTGAAAGGGAATGCACAATTTAAATTTCATACACAATGTCAAATAATCCTCCAGAAAAGCTATACCAAATACATTCCCACTGATAGTAAATGCGTGTATCTACTTTCTCATATCTTTGCCAACAATGGGTATTGGCTCAATGTTTTTCCTTGTTTTCTAATTTGAGAGATGTCATTGTTATTTTTATATACATTTCTTTATTACTAATATGATAAATACATTTTCACATATTTAAAAGCCAGAAAAAGTCTTTCTTTTGAAAATTACCAGTGCAGGTCTTTTGTGAATTCTCACTGTTTATCTCACCACTATAAAAGAGCCCCTGTTATTTCACAAATATAAGCTGGTTGACCTACAAGGTTCAAATATATTTTGAACCATTTTGTGTTTTTTAAGTTTGTTGATGCTTTAACTGGTTTAGGGTTCATTTTGACAAATCAAATTTAACCAAATCTAAGTCCTGTTCACTTAAAGTACAGAGACAACAAACTAAACCCTCAGTCCCAACTAGTTTTAGAGCCAAACAATCATAAAACCACCACTCTCACTACTGATCAATGTCTAGAATTAGTCTTTCTGTTTTAATGAGGGAAGAAGAGAATGCTTGCATCCACTACTTATCTATATATTCAATTAACAACAGACTTCTCCAGTTTCCTGAGGTCGTAATCCACTCTTTAATAATATTCCATTTCCCGACTGGGATTCCACTTCTACTTTAAACCCACATTAATCTGGCTAAAAACTTGACAACCTACCATCCGGTCCTTTATTATACTAAAGGCTGAACCCTTCACCACAGGCTTTCACTATTAATCTGGAACCCTACCTTGAAATAACCAAAACTGAAAATTACTAGTCTGCCCCCTAACATGGGTCATTAGTACCATTACCTAGAGATTTCTGCTACCAGGTTCTACCCCGCCTTTGGAGACTGACCCATATTCACTAAGCTACCCTGGTATCATAATTTGGACAGCTAGTCAACTCCCTTGAGCTATTATTCAGCTGGGATCGAAAATGAAGCAAATGCATTACTCCTTTTTTTTCCTGGACATCTGTTCTCCCTGCTTACTTCTTTTCTTCCACCAACCAGTCACAGGTTCTGGCACACTTTATCATATGAGGCTGCCTGGTTTATGACAAGCAGCACTAACAACATCGTAAAAAATAAACACAATCATTGGAATTATAATTTCTATGAAAGTCACATACATAAAATCATAATGAGAGAAAAACAGTTTAAAAGGATACCTTTTAATAATTTGAAAAATTAAAAAACACCTCTTTATCCATATATACCCTAATGTTACTCCAGTATTTCATAGAATAAAAAAAAACTGTCTATAATTTTTTTAACCCACTGAGCCACCCAGGCGCCCTATTGTCTATAATTTTTTTAACCAGACCACAAATGTTTATGAATGCTTGCCTTAACTACCAATGTATTAAAGAAAGACATGACATCAATAATCATAATTACAGTTATTAATACTTAGGGCTAGATTATACTACTGAAATATTTTATTTTCTTCAGCCTAACATTTCAAGTCATAATTTATTACCTAATTTTACATGTTCCAGGATACTTCCATGCTAAAAAAGAATAGAATTTTTTAATTAAAAATGTCATGGCCTAGTCGGTTAAGCATCCAACTCTTGATTTTGGCTCAGGTCATGATCTCAGGGTTGTAAGACTGAGCCCTACAACAGGCTCGGCACTGGGCATGGAACCTGCCTAAAAGTCTCTCTCTCCCTCTCCCCTGCCCTGCCCTGCCTTTCTCTGGCCCCCTATAAAAAAACAAAGTCAGATCAATATCCAGAAAAATAACCATATGCATATATATATGTATATATGTATATATGCACATAAATATATATATATATATCATATAGATATAGGTATCAAGTCAGGAAAGCCCAAACCCCTAGACAAAGAAATACAGCACAAGTTCATCTTCAATTTCTTAGCAATCTACAAACTAAACTCTATTGGAGTCAACTTTATAAAGTATCAAAATATTATCCTCCTGGATCAGGAAAAAATAGCTGGTAAGGATATGATTAGGTTAACTTAATGGATCTCAACCAGAGGCAGTTTTGCCCTCCAGGAAACATCTGGCAGGGTCTAGAGATATTTTTGGTTGTCACACTGTGGCAAGGAGGAAGGCCATAGCCTACTAGTATCCAGTGGCTAGAAGCTAGGCATGCCGCTAAGCATCCTCTAACACACAGCATAGTCCCCCCACAAGAATTATGTGCTCTATAACAGCTACAGTGATGATGCAGAGAAATCTGGAACAACTGATGAAATGTGATGGACTACACTGTATCAATGCTAAATTTCCTGAATCTGATTATTTTCATGTCGCTCTGTAAGAGAACAACTTTCTTTCTGGGAAATACATATCAAAGTATTCAGAAATAAAGGAACATGTCTCAACTTACCTGCAAATGGTTCAGAAAAAGATATGTCTATATGTATATATGCAGAGAGAAAGAATGAATGGTAAAGCAATGAGCCAAATGCTAACAACTGGTGAATCTGAGTAAAGAATATACAGAAATGTTTATTATTTTTCTAACTTAAAATTATATCAAAATAAAAAGTTAAGTATTATCATGCCTGAAAATTTCTTTCAACTGGAAAACTTTATACAATTTCCCAGTATATATGTGTAATACAGCCAAGCAGATTTACTCCTTTCTCAAAATAAATTACATTACCTTGGATACTTGTAAATTTGGTCAAGAGAAGTAAGCATAAGCTGAAAAGTATTAATTTCTAAAATGTGAAGTGCCCAGAAAAACCTAGAAACATTTATGTGTCAAGGGTTAACATTCTTTAGTATATTATATCACAGTAAATGCAAGCCTAATACCCCTTGCACTATGTATTTCAGGCTTTCAATACACACTGAAAACTGCAAACATTTTGAATCACGTAAGATCTGAACAAAATCAATGGAAAAATATGTATGAGAAATAGTACAAAAACATTTTTTTTAAGACTCAGATTTTCAGAAGCTTAATATTAGTTCTGGATTCTTGAAATTTACCACTTCTATTTCTAGGCACTTATTACTTAAGAAGCAATCAACAAAATGCAATAGCAACTTTGTAAACAGTAACAGTTCACTTTTGGAAAACAGTAATTAAAATTTTTAAATCCAGGAAAAAAATTAGGGCACTTACAGATGTCTGGGACATACTTGACTGTTGTGTGACACTTCCTGTTGGGGATGTAGATGGTCTTCCACTGGACAAACTTGCCTAAAATAATAAGATCTTTATAACAGATCTATAAGAATCTAAAGTTAAAAGCTTTTGGTACCAGGATACCACAAAACCATGATAAAAGTCAAAACGTCTGTGTTATAAACCAATCCATTTCACAGCCAACATAGATTAAGCTTTGGCCAAACAGATTAAGAGGAAAAGAAAAAGCTGAACGATGAAAACTGAGGACCCAAAGGCTAATCTTATTTTAATAGCTGCACCCATTGTCAGTTTTACTCAACAGCTCTCTGTCTTCTTTGAAGTGAAACCACCCATAAGAACATTATGAAAAAGAAATTGTAGCTACATGAAGTGCCAGTGAGTTTCAGTTTCCTAACTTGTATCATGAACACGAGGTTATTTAAAAGTACACTACGAAGAAGAAGCAACAGCTGGGGATGTGTTTCTAACAGAAATAACTCTTTTTCAGGTTTAGTCAACTGAGATCCTCCTTTAGTAAGAAGATTTAAGATTAAATCTCACCATGTAGTTTTATTTAAATAAACAGAATAACAAAAATCTTTTTTAAAACAAGTATTTAATCACAAAATTATCCTGTTATCAGTAGGAAAAGTATGCGTGGGTATTAGAAAGCTTCATGGATACTATTTTAGATAGAAAATTTCTGGAGTGATACATATTAAACAGTGGCCACCTCTGAAGAATGAAAAACAGCAGTGAGTCGAGAAAAGGAACACCTCTACTTTACCTCTTATAATTTTATGCGCTTCAATTTTTTTAATGAATGTAAATTACTTACATTAAAAAAAAAACATTTTTCACCGAAATGTAAATACAATTAATGTAACCTGAAGTATTCACTGTTGTACCTAGAATTTTATACACATAATGGCCTGACACTTGCACTGAATTTCTGCAGTGCAAATAAAAAGCAGTGGGACAAAAGCTAGCGACAGAGTACCATATAAGACATAGCCATATTTGTTTCATTAACTTCTATTTGGCCACCTATTAATTTCTTAAAGAAAAAATAATCATAGGACATTTAAGCATTCTGAAGTAACTCCCAACATATTTGTTTTCAGTGATTATCTGCTAAGAACGTCAACTTTTCGTCGACATTGGCCTCATAAACTCTCCATTTATGGAAGTCTCACCTGAACAGCAGCCAGGCTCTGCAGCTGGGAGCTGCTCAAGTGCTGCTGCTGCAGAGCGGCCGTGTGTAGCATCAAGTGCTGCTGCTGAGCGGCGTACATCTGCTGCAGGTACTGCGCGGCGGAGCTGGGCGGCCGGTGCAAGGCCTGCTGAATCACCTGCAGGCAGCCAATTGAACCAAGGTCAAACCTGGATCTTAACGTTCATCTGAACCATAAAATAAAGTATGAAAGAACAGGCAGTTGAAAATTTCACTGCTTTAATATTCAATGTCAAGTTTATGAACACAGTCCTCTCCTAGTTACACATTAGTGAAATGCACTAATCTATACAAATTAAAAACCACCCAGAAGAGACAATTCACCAAAGAACAGAAGAGCCAAATGAGCACTTGAAAATATCTTCAATCTCATCAGTAGTCAAAATTTTTAAATTAAAACAAGATACTATTCAGGGCTCCTGGGTGGCTCAGTGGGTTAAGCGTCTGCCTTCAGCTCGGGTCATGATCTCAGGGTTCTGGGATCAAGTCCCACATCGGGCTCTCTGCTCAGTGGAGAGCCTGCTTCCCAGCCCCCACCCCACTGCCACGCCCACCACCCCGCCAGCTGCTCTACTTGGGATCTCTCTCTGTCAAATAAATAAATAAAATCTTTAAAAAACAAAAACAAAACAAAACCAATATACTATTCTCCAACTTTCAGATGAATAAAGATTTAAAAGAATACTACCACTAAATGGGAAAAAAAATACTCTCATAGTGTTAGTAAGTATGGAAACTGGTAGAACTATTTTGGATAAAACTTAGAGAATTCTGGGCTTGGGTGTAGAGAGGAATATACACAACCCTGCAGTAGTTACAAATAGTAACACAGAGGTGCCTGGGTGGCTCAGTCGGTTGAGGGTCTAACTCTTGATTTTGGCAGGTCATACATGATCTCAGGGTCTAGAGACTGAGTGCCATGTCAGACTCTGCACCGGGCATTGAGCCTGCTTAAGATTCTCTCCCTCTCCCCTCCCCAATTCTCTCTCTCTCAAAAAAAATAAAATAAAATAAAATAAAAATAGCCCTGTAGACCCATTCTGCCCAGTATAGCAGCCACTAGCCACATGTGTCTCCTGAGTACTAACCAATGCAGCTAATGTAACTAAGAAAATTAGTTTTTGATTTTACTAAATTTTAATATAAACAGCCCCATGTACTTCGGAGCTACTGTGTATTGAATACAGACATATCTACATTTATCGACAACACAAAAATTCCCAATATATTATTAGGTGAAAAAAGCAGATTACTAAATGATGTATAGAGTAAGATACCATTTTTATATTAAAATATTTAAAAGAATATTCAGAAAAACATTAAAAGACTCCTGAGAGACAACTAGACTTAAGGTGATTTTTACCTTCTCATGTGTATTTTTCTTTAAATGTCTGAAAAAAAATCTGAGTAGTATTATATTAATAATCACATAAAATTATAAGGATGTTTCATGTTTTAAATTACTTTTTTAAATGTTTTTTAAATGTCAGATTCCTTTCAACATAAAATAAAACTATTTTAACTAATAAAAATTCCTGGAAAAGTGTTAATTACTGTATTTGTTAATGAAATATAAAATCTGAGCCTGAGACTTCATAAATAGATAAATGTAGGAAAGTCAAATATTCTAAAAACAGAGAAAAATCCTTTATCCTTTATCTGTCCAAACCCGTAAGTCAGACTATGCCAGTCCTCTGCAACCATGTCCCAAAGTCACATCATGCCCACAGTGACTCTTAAACAGCACAGAACCCTAACCTCAGCATCAACCACAGAGTTTTCAGAGCTAAGGGAGTAACAGAGCCATAATCCTACAGCTTGAGGTCTGAGTCAGGACACCATGAGCCATAAAGCAATGAATCTCTTTATTCAAATTCCAAGAAAACATATTTCCTTGTGTTTACATATCTTTCATGTATACATATCTCATCTTTCCAACTATAGACTGCTAAACCTGCTACAGACTCTTGTCACAAAATCAATGTAGGAGTTTGAACCTTAGTTGCAGAAGACTATAGACCAACATTAAGTGATAGAGAATTACAATAGTATGTCTTTTTGGTCAGGTAAATCTATATATGTTCTTTAAATTATATAACAAAACTAAAATCAAATTGAAATAAGAAATGAGTAAACTATTTGACACATTTTTGTCAGAGTGTAGTCATTTCTTATCATCAACATAGTCTTTCATTGTCATTCAACCACAGACTCATAGAAGAGAGACTCATTAAATACAAATTAAAGGTAAAATACACTGTTCTTATATTATTTCTCTAAAGAAATGAAAAGGGCAAAGAGTATTCACAGGAATGAAAACAAATGCTGGAAGGTATTAAAGAATTCCTTAGGTAATTCAATAAATATTGATCTGATTACATTTTGGGGGAAACGATTATACGACTTCATAAGAACTAGTGTTGGTGCTATTTGTGAGATACATGTATAACTACACATTTCCAGCTAACACTTTATTTTTTATTAACACATCCAGCTTAGGTAGAAACTAGAGATCAAAATGGCACAGTAAAATACCACATTCCTGTGTCCCTTGCCTCAAAGAAAGGTGAAGAACATTAATAACACATTCCTCATTCCTGTCTGAACTTTTGCTGAACTGACTCAGTCTCCCAACAATTTTGATTCCACCCCATGGTAACTTCAGAATCCTAAACAACAGAACAGTGAAATAGCAATGGAGTGGAGAGAGGAATATCTTGCAAACAACTAAGTTATTTCAGAGTAGAATGAAATTATGGAGATTGTAGAAAGAGTAAGCAAGTACAACAATAAAAATAAAAACTCAGAGTGGTTAAAGGCACAACTCTAAAACCAGACAATCTACTAGCTATGTGAATTTAGGAAAAGTTATTTAGCCCATTTAAAACATCAGTCTTCCCACCTATAAAATGGAGATAATATCTATTTCACAGAGGTGTGCTGAGGATCAAAAGAGATAACCCACGTAAAGCATTCATCAAATGCTTGGCACATAGCAACTGTTCAATAAATACTAGATATTATTATTGACTGGGTATATATATTGTGCCCCACACAGTTCTAATGCTTCCTTTAATCCTCATAACTGGGGTGCCTGGGTGGCTCAGTCAATTAAGGCTCTGATTCTTGGTTTCAGCTTAGATCATGATTTCAGGGTTCTGAGACTGAGCCCCCACAACCAGCTCAATAAGCAGCTGGGAATCCGCTTAGGAGTCTCTCTCCTTCACTCCCCCTTAGCTCCTCCCCTTGCTTGAGCTCATGCACTCACACTCTCCAGCGCTCTCGCTCTTAAAATCTCTCTCAAAATCTTTTTTTTTTTAAACAGATTTTTTTTTTTTTAATTTATTTGATGGACAGAGATCACAAGTAGGCAGAGAAGCAGGCAGAGAGAGAGAGGAGGAAACAGGCTCCCTGGCGAGCAGAGAGCCCAATGTGGGGCTCGATCCCAGGACCCCGGGATCATGACCTGAGCTGAAGGCAGAGGCTTTAACCCACTGAGCCACCCAGGTGCCCCTCAACATCTTTTTTTTTTTTTTTTTTAAATCCTCATCATAACTAAGGAACTAGGTGGTCTTATCCTCATTTCACAGTTTCCTGATGTGGAAAGAGATCACGCCTCTCATCCAACACTACATAGGTATTAATGATTAAGAAAATGGAATTCAAAGAGCGTATCAGACTGTAATGCCCATACCCTTTTTATGCAATACCATATTGTCTCAACATCCGTTATTATAAAGATTAATTTTCTCAACCAAGTGAAGACCTAAAACTTTTCCTAGTTAAATATTCCCTTCCCCCTCGGCCCCTAGGAGCTTTAAATGGATCCTCCTACTTAGGTTCTTAGACCACCTGAGTTTTAAATGAACCTCTTAACACACCTACAGACCTGAATAGATCTTCCTAAGTCTATATTTTGGGTTCAAATACAAAGAACCCAGAAAAACCTAGAGCCACTCTACATATCAAGGCTGTAGTTTGAGTTTCTCCACATTGCAGCAGCACCTAAAGTCCTTTCAGCTACAATTTTCCTGACATGTGGTTTTATAGGCCACCTGCTGATAAATATAAGCCCTCTCAATAGGATTATTAAATAACTTTTTGATTGTTTCAAACACTAACAATCCTAACTGTACTCATTTAGAGAATATCATGTGACTCATCTGAGGATGTGAAACAATAGCTTCATCTGGCTTAAGAGAAAAGTAATGACATCCTAAGTCTCAGTCTACCACGCATTCTAACCGAAATACCTGTACGGCATGTCGGTCTGAGCCGCTGTAGACAGAGATCTGTGGTTGCTGCATTCGAGAGGAGGAAGTGGTGATGGTGGTGGTGGTCGTGCTGCTGGTTGTTGTCGACACAGAAGATGTGCCAGGGTTTGGTTCACTATCCATAGCTGTACTGTGGTCCTTGAATCTGTCAGATAACACAAAGGATTTGCATTGGCAAAGCATTATTTCATGGGCTTTAAAGAATATTTAATTATTTCAAAGAAATAATCAGCAACAATCTAAATTTTTAAGACCCTCCCAAAATGGCATTCATCGCACACAGTCACCATAACCACTTAGAAAGGAAAAGTACTTCGCAAATACGTAGCATATTTGATAGTTAATACCTACTAACTTTGCATTCAAATGATTCAGGATATGCAACTTAAATAAATCCTGGCCTAAACTTTATCTTTCCATTACTGAAAGATAAGTGAAACCAGAACAGGTTTATAAGAGAACACTAAACTACCTAAAAAACAAATGCTTAAGCAGCATCAGAGTACTTTAAAGTATTTTTTTACGTTCTTTTGCCCATACTAATCACAAATTAAAGTAATTCTTATCTATATATTAAAACAGGATGCCTAAGGACTTGTGTTAATTAGGTTATTTCTGGTTACCATATGCACTCTGCTTTAAAAACATGTTCTCTTATTAAATAATTTTAAAAATTGTTTTTTTAAGATTTTATTTTTTAAGTAATCTCCATATCTAACACGGGGCTCTAAGAGACACCTGGGTGGCTTAGTGGTAGGGCATGTGACTCCTGACCTCAAGGTCCTCTTGAGTTTAAGCCCAACACTGGCATAAAACTTACATTAAAAAAAAAAAAGGTAAATTGGGGTGCCTGGGTGGCTCAGTGGGTTAAGCCTCTGCCTTCGGCTAGGGTCATGATCTCAGGGGTCTGGGATCGAGCTACGCATCGGGCTCTCTGCTCAGTGGGGAGGCTGCTTCCCCGCCCTCTCTCTCTCTCTCTGCCTACTTGTGATCTCTGTCAAATAAATAAATAAAATCTTAAAAAAAAAAAAAGGTAAAAATAGTAATTTTTTATTAACTCACACTGGCTTTTCCCTTATTAGTCTATAACATTGTTCTTACTACATCTAATAACTCTGGTTACACTTATTAGCAGATTACTCTGGGAAATCAGAGAAGCACCTGACAACAATTTTCCCACTTCCCCACAAAAGTGTCTTTTCACAAAGAATTGCTCCAAATTCTGAAAACAGCACAATTATGTCACTTTCCCCACATATGAACAATAAAGTTCATAAAGTACATTTTTGTACCAGACTTTCTGATTTCTTCCCCTCCAATACTGCAAACTCACTTCACTATTGTGATATAAACTTCCACTTCACCTTGAATCTATACTTTAATTCAATCAAACAACATTGTATTTTAAGTCAATTCTCAAGCCCTCAGTATTGTTAGAAAGTAGAACTACAATAGTTTTTGTAGAGTTAGAAATGCACCAGAATGGTGAAAAGCACACCTGTGAATACAACAGTCTTATCTGCCTTTCTTAACCCCTCTTTTCTTCTGAGAAACAAAATTTGACACACATCACATCAGCATCATTGACAAGAATGTAACAAGAACACTTTCTACTTCATGAAAAGACAAAGGAATTTGGCACTAATTATGCATGCATACGCTATTCCCATATGGTGTCCTTTTATGTACAAATATTCTTTGTTCTTTACATCATTTATATAAATAGTATTTATATGCTCCTCAAGGAATTAAAAGTAAAAAGAAAATTCAATTTAATAAAAAGTGAAAGGAAAACAGCTGACTTCACTTTTCTGATTAGTAAATGATTCACACATCTTTATGCTTCTCTAGGTTTTTTTTTTTTTTAATAGTTTTTCAAACTGCCTTCCAATCATCAAATCACAACATCATATGGCAACTGTTCAACATCATTCAGATTTAGTGGTAGATAAGGTAAATTTTTTCCAAATTACTGGCTTCATAACACTTATGAAACATGTAGCAGTGACATGCAAAAAGCCAACTTTAATTCTGGTCCTTTTAGAGTGGTATTCTATGCAATCATGTGGTCAAACTCAGACCCCATGGTAGGTCTGTTCAGTAGCAAACCAAAAATGGTCACAGATACTCCAAATTCTAGGCACAAGTCTAAACATCAGTGAGTAGAACTGGCCAAACCACTGTACTGCATTTGGAGACCTGGCACAAAAGAACAATTTTGCTAACTCCACCGTGTGCGTAGTACTGTCTGCAAAATACAGCTGGCAGTCCTGGTGCCCAAGAGGCCTACCCAGGAAACACTAAGTTTGAGCAGCTAGCTAAGGATACCATCACACCACACCGCCACACAATATGGCCCTCTAAGGTGGCATCAACACTGCAGCCAGAGACCCAAGGGAAATAAGGTCTTTCTTCTGGGGTGTTTTCTGCCTAGCCAGACCCGCAGGAACATTTCCCCCCACCACCCTCCGCTCCAAGGCCCGCGCTGGGACACCTCCACGCCTCCCAGGGGAGGGCGGTGAGCAGCCTCGTCTCAGGTTCTCCTACCGAGAAGCAGTGGGTTGACGCCGGGGCGGGAAGGAGGGGAGCGCGAAGGAGGCCTGGCAGTGCCCGCCCAACCCTCCCCAGCCTCCGCGGGCCCCCGGCGCGGGCATCCGTGACAAGGCTGCCCTCGGGGCCCACTTGCAGGGATGACAGCGCCTGAGGAGCCCTCTGGGACTCAGCTTCCGGAAGACCCCAGCGATCCGGGTTCCTGGGGTGACTCTGCGCGCAGGGCCCGGCCGATTTGGGATCAGACCGCGGAAGGGGCGCTCCCGCCTGGAGGGAACTAGACCCTTACAGTTGGCCTCCGCCCCCCGATATGGGCCAAACGGGATCCCCAAGGATAAGGAAGCTCTTGGGTCTCCCTTTCCCTGTACTGCCCGCCAGAGAGCCTTGAGCTTTCCCTTTAGGGGACATGTCGCTGCCCCACTCGCCCCCCGGTTACGACATCAGTCACCAGCAAGTCACTCACTCCGCTTCCGCCATCTTCTCTCCTCCATCACTAACACGGGCTGCGCATGCGCCCCCCGGAGGCCAGCGGAGGGGCGGGGTCGACTAAGCCCGGGGGCCTCCCAAGGTCACGTGGTGTCCTCGGCTTCCAATCCCCCTTCCCACCTGAGGCCTTGCTCGCTCTGGGAAGTGACCAGGTTTCCTTGTCTCCCATCAACCCCTCGCTTTCTATTGCCTAAGGTCTCTCGAAAAGAGATCTGTAACCGAGATATGAAAAGTTGTGTTTAGACTGTTAAATTACATATTTAAGAAACCTCTCAAATACACAAAAGCCTATGTAAATTGCAGAGTGAGGTGAAAGAAAATACAAGAAGACTGGATGCTTGGAGTTCAGTGGGAAAGGAAATACTGTGGTGGTGCAGGGCTTGCTAACTGGGGCTCAGTGGAACTGTGGGTCCAAACCAGCAGTTCCTCTCTCAGGCTCAAAGATAGTGTTCCAGTCGCTGGTGAGGTTAAGGAATCACCCTGATTATCCTATGAGTATCATTCATGTCTATGACATGAATTTACTGAGCACTTGGTAGGGATTGCAAACTTGAATACGAGAGAGAAGTTTGCTAGTACGTTTTACTGTTCAGTATATATGTTAAGTCCTCTGAGGCAGAATGAGACAAAGAGGAGCATTAAAAAGTCCCTGTCTTCCAGGAAGTCCTAATTTGGAGACTGGGGAGAGTTTTGTAGAAATATCCCTGCAATATAAGTGTTCTGAAACAGATCCGTTAAGTGCTTTGGAAACCTTAAGTTCACAGAATAATCAATCTTTACTACACTTAACAGAAAAAAAAAAAAGTGTACTGATCACAATGTCTTCTTTTGGTATTTCTTAAGATGATAGAACTGCACTAATTTCAAGACCTGAGAAATGAAGTACTGATATAAATCTATCGTGAAGTGTCATGTGGTCTAATGAAAAGTATACTTAATCTCGGAAATCTTGTGTTTCAGGCTCTCCCTAGGGTAGGGAAAAGAACACTTCCAATGTAAACTAAATTGTCAGTTTACCCCTTCCCCCCTATCCCACCTCTGAGAACATGGGGTTTCTTTTTTAATTTTCTTTTGTTAAAAGACTTTATTTTTTAAGTAATCTCCACACCTAATGTGAGACTCAAACTTATAACCCCTAGATCAAGAGTTGCACACTATACCGACTAAACCAGCCGGGCACCCCTGAAAATGTGGTTTCTTTACCTTATTTTCCTCTCTGAGAGCAGTGCCTTTCCTACTACTCCTAGAAGAACTCCCTGAGAAAGTCCCCTTTGAAAAGTCCCTGTAAATACTTAAAAATAAGATATCATCACTTTTTCTTTTTTTTCTGACCTGCTCATATGGTGTCATTGTCATTTGACTCTCAAGAATCAACTGTCCATTGGTATTGCTGAAATTTCTTTTAGAGAAACAAAAGTAAAGAAAACACAGTCTTACACCTAAAGATCAAAAATGCATAATTCCAAGGAGTGTTTAGCATAAATGGGGCAAAATTGTTCCTTTCTTGTCTCTTTTCCTTGAACATCTAAGGCCCATGTCTATATTGTCACCTGGTGAAGATTGGCTTTAAAATTCCAGATGTATGTTAGACCAGTATTGCTTTTTAGAAACATTTCCAAACTCGATAGTTATTATAACATCAACCATTTCTACAGCCTTTTACTAAGTGCAGAGGATTTTCACAAACTCTTTTACTCTTCACAACAACCCTGTGGTATTTTACCATCACTTCCATTTAGCACAGAAGTATAGTGAGGTGATTAGATACCCAGACACAGGATTCTAATTTAAGCTTTCCATCTTCAAAGCCAAGTTTTTGCTGTTGTTGTTGTTGTTTTCTTCACAGCAGCATTCAGCAAGCCACTGTGGGATATGTTAGAACAGAAAAAGTATGATAAGGGACTACTCTTAAGAAATTTATCATTACGGGGCACCTGGGTGGCTCAGTGGGTTAAGCCTCTGCCTTCGTTCGGCTCAGGTCATGATCTCAGGGTCCTGGGATCGAGCCCCGCATCGGGCTCTCTGCTCAGCGGGGAGCCTGCTTCCCCCTCTCTCTCTGCCTGCCTCTCTGCCTACTTGTGATCTCTCTCTCTCTCTCTCTGTCAAATAAATAAATAAAATCTTAAAAAAAAAATTTATCATTACTCATGGGGCACCAGGGTGGCTCAGTGGGTTAAGCCTCTGCCTTCAGCACGGGTCATGATCCCAGGGTCCTGGGATCGAGCCCCACATCGGGCTCTCTGCTCGGTGGGGAGCCTACTTCCTCCTATCTCTGCCTGCCTCTCTGCCTACTTGTAATCTCTGTCTGTCAAATAAATAAATAAAATCTTTAAAAAATAAAAAAGAAAGAAATTTATCATCACTTATCTGACCAGACAGAGAACAGTGTTTTACTTCTTTTTTTTTTTTTTGGATTTTATTGATTTATTTGATAGAGAGAGAAGGAACACGATCAGGGGGAGTGGGAGAGGGAGAAGCAGGCTTCCCGCTGAGCAGGGAGCCCGATGTGGGATTCGATCCCAGGACCCCGGGATCATGACAAAGCTGAAGGCAGACACTTAATAGCTGAGCCACCCAGGGGCCCCCAGTGTTTTACTTCTTTATGATTTCCTAAGGAAAGGATGTATATAGCATGCTAAAAGGTTGAACTTCTTTCTAAAGTTTCCAGGAGCCATTACCTTGGAGAAGTGCTAGGATTCTTTGATTTTAGAAAAAACTCTCTCCAAAAAAAAAATGAAAGAAAGAAAGAAAGAAAGAAAGAAAGAAAGAAAGAAAGAAAGAAAGAAAGAAAGAGCCCTCTAGCTTTGTGAAGAATGGATTGGAAGAAAAGGAAAACGGATACAGGGCAACTAACTGAGAAACTGTATGAATTCTAAGAGAAAGGGTAAGGGCTACAGGAGTGGTAGAAAGGGCTAGATTAAAATTTTAGTCCCTGGGGCGCCTGGGTGGCTCAATGGGCTGGGACTCTGCCTTCGGCTTGGGTCGTGGTCCCGGGGCCCTGGGATCGAGCCCCATGTCGGGCTCTCTGCTCGGTGGGGAGCCTGCTTCCCTCTCTCTCTGCCTGTCTCTCTGCCTACTGTGATCTCTCTCTGTCTGTCAAATAAATAAATAAATAAAATCTTAAAATTTTAGTTCCTTAGTTGCATGAGTCACACATCAAGTGCTCAATAGCCACATGTGGCTAGTGGCAACTATATTGTGTTGTGCAGATATAGAACATTTTTCCATCATTACAGAAAACTCTATTGGACAGAGCCAGTTTAGACTCTAGATCAGGAGTTGGCAAACTACTATTTCTGCCTTCGTCTTTGGGGCCACTTATACCAAATAGCATTGACTGGGTGGCTTAAACTCCAAACAATTATTTCTCACAGTTCTGGAGGCTGGGAAGTCCATAATCAAGGTGCCAGCAGATTCAGTATCTAGTGAGAACCCTCTTTTTAGTTTTGCAGACAGCTGCCTCCTTGCTCAATCCTTATAGGGTAGCAGACATGGGGACTATAGACATTTGGGCCACTTCTTCATGTAACCCACTTGTGCCTTCACAGCCTGCTGGGCCCTTTCCATTTGGTGATGGAATGCTGCTATGCACCCCCAACTTTATGGCTTGGTAACTCAAGTAACACTCAATTTATGATAGGTGGCTCAGGTCTCATAGTAACTATGTGACCCATTGAGTGCCTACTGAGGCCCAGTAGCAGGCCAAGAGCTGGTTTTCGAAAGAAAAATAGTTATATGCAGAAGATGAAAGGGCTTTTTTCCCCAAAATTCTAAGGACCTACGCAATGATTTACCTATAGGGGACTATCAAAAGCTCCAAACAGCATCCACATCTACAACATACACTTCAAGCATCATTATAACGCCCAAGTGGCAAGGCAACTTGCACAGCAGCTTGGTCCTGTCACCGAGCCATCTCTTGTTCTGGACCCCCTACAAAACTAGCAGCTTTATAGGTCACTTAGTAAGTGGGATGGAGTAAAACACCCAAACGAGGAATATGTTGCCCCCAAAATCC